GAAGCTGAAAAGTCCTTGGCTAGTGTAAGCATTACCTAGCAACATCTGAACCATTGGTGTGTTATCAACATTGTTCTCATCCTAAATCCAAAACACAGCACTGTACCAGCTACTAGGAAGAAAATTAACTCTATCCCAGCCGAAACCAGGAGAGGTGATAACTTTCCTCTACCAGGAAATGCTCTGTGGAACTGGAAATAGAGCTGAACTTGGGGAACAAAGATCTCTGCAGTCAGGAGTTGCATCTGAATTCGGGAATTATTTATATGGGGCAGATGGATGTGTGTGTCATTGTGGTGTGATTTCTGCCCCTGCAGATTTTTTTTTTAAGATTCACAGTAGGAAGTGAAAGAGTATGTTGTAAGTGCAGCAGATGCTGCTGCTGCAGCTCAAGGAGAGTTGATACAAACTAAGTAGTGTAAGGAAACCTTTAGGACACTGAACAGTGCTGTTAGCTGTTGACAGGCTGCATTACTTGCTGTATAGAAATGCAGTGAACAACCTCCACTCTCAACACGGGCTTAAGGAATTATTCCACTGAATCACAAGAGCCTCAGCCATGCAATGCCCACAATGAAGGTGTGAAACGGATGCAATTGCCCTCGCAGTTCCAACCTCATGACAGGAAGGAGCACTAATCCTAAAAGTGGGAGGTGGCATCTATTTTAGATTGGGGGATATAGTCAAGAGTGTCACCTCCTTCCTTAACTAGGCACTGGGGCTGCGAACGAATGGAGTTGTATTCCCAAGGCTGGACTGAGAGCTGAGTCTTGTCCTGGTTGGCTTTGCAACAGAGTGCCTGGGAAATACGTATTTTGTTTCCTGCAGGAAACCCACTGCCCAGGTGTGAGTTCCAGCATGTGAGAAGGTGGAAACAAAAGGAGACCCTCGCCGTGAGCCTTGCAGGAGGCAGGGGCACAGCCAGGTCTGCTGCTGATGGCAGCATTTGCACAAAATGAGGCTGGCTGTGCTTTTTGGAGAGGGGATAACCAGGGAAGCATTTTGTTGGCCTCATACAGTGTAAGCACCGTAATGAGACTACATGCTGCTTATTTTTTCAGAGCAGAAATGGAGAAAGCAGCTCTATTGGCTTCTTTTTAGCCTCTTCCAACATTGAAGGCACATCAGGCAAAGAGTTCAGATCAAGCTTGGTCAGTGGCTAAGACCAGTGAGAAACGTTTCAATGGGCAAAGTTTTTAATCAGGAAAGACAGACTCACAAAAATTGCTATGAGATCATTTTAGCCACTCTAACCTCATATTGTACATTTCCAATTAAAAAAAAAGGCTGATCACTAAGCAAATAACTCATGTACATGTGCATTTTGTAGCATGAAGTAATTTACAGCCTAAGAACTGGTGTCAGATCTAGTTAAAAACATGTACAGAGTATGTTCTCAACTGCTTATCTCTCTGCTTGTCTGTCAGCCTTTGTTTTTTCACCTATACATGCACGCATACACATGTACCCCAATGACATGTTTCCAGCATACCCTTTCGTACCTGAACTTTGAACTGCAGGCAGATTGCAATGTGAATGTTTTGTCTCTTTATTATTAAAACCCACAAGTATAGCTATTATAGAAAATGAATATTATTTAGGCATTTAATAAATAATGGTATTTCTAGTTTCTCTCGGTAAGACCTAGAAGTTGGAAGTAAGGAGAGGTTCAGCAAATCTTTGTGATCAAATAATTTTCAGCAAGTTTGTGGTGAAGGCATAGTGATCCATGAGCTACAGTTTGGGAACTAGGTGCTCTCTGTCCAAGCAGCTATAAGGCTCTGACACGTGCAAAGCTTAACTCCAAGGATGACAGACTTTCAGTACCCAGCCTTGCCTTTCCTGGTACCGTCTGGGGAGCCTAATCAGTCAGCTGAAAGATGAGGAAAGGAGGCATTTGCAAATTTCACACTATCTTGAAGAAGACTTTTTTTAATATCTATAAAATTATATATTTTTTAAAAGAATCTGCAGAAAAAATAAAGCAAATAATTTATTTTTATTTCTGTGTCTGAGGCCTCTCATTTCTATTTACCAAATATCTGGCTCAATGCAACGAGTGATTTAGGGGAAAAAAAAGTCATATAAAAAGAAACAGAACGCAGCAGAACAGCCATGCTGAGATAATGAACTTGACAGAAGGGAGGCAGCAATGAGGATTATGGGACACTGGTGCGCACCCTGTGAATCAGATCCAATTCCTGTTATTTTGTACCACTTAAGAACTTGTACGGGAATTGTTTATGGTCAATGGAATGAAGCAGAAGGGAAGACAGAGAGCGATCTCCTTTGGCTGGCCTTTTCCAGGGAGCCTGATACACTTATGACTCAGAGAAACAAGCACATTGAAATCCTCAGCCCAGTCCCTTTTTTTAAGGTTGTGTAACCAACCAGCCACTCTGGTCAATTGGACACGTTTGCTTTATTTGCTTATATTTCAGTTAATATCTGAATGATTCTGTGCTGTATTTTGGCATTTGTTTGGACCCCTTTGTTTTTCTTTCTTACATATATATTTTTAGTCTTAGAAGTTCTGAAAATCAGTTGAACCGAGGAAGTTCCTGCGAGGTATTACCTGGCACTGTGGAAGGCTTAAAGGAGGAATCAAGGTGCCAAGTCTATAAAGCCCAGCGTGGAAAGTAAATAAGAAAGAAGGCACAGCGGGCAGCTTTTGTTGTATAGGCTCAGGGGCAGATTTCTTATTTCAGGACATGCAGGAAGAAATGTCTGTTTGGGATGGGGAAAATAGACCCACCATAGAAATCCTGTTAGAGCTCAACATTCAATAGCTCTCTTCCTGCACGTGGCCATGCTGTTCCCGGGCCCTTGGGGTGAATAAAACAAATCCTGCCTCAGAAGAATGGGAAACAGAGTCTCAGACAGTCCACTCTGCCGCTAAAAGGTAGAAATGAGTTTTCTTTGCTTCTCCTGATGTCTGTAATGTTTTGCAGCTTGCTTGAGAGATCCCGCTCCTTCAAATGAGGTGTGGCCAGAAATGAAGGAGACATTACTCGCTGATGTCCAACAGTTTTATTTTCATTTTCCCTTCATGCTCACTGCAGAGACAGATCTGGAATTGTCTCTAACAAGTAAATGAGGGAGAGGTCCTCCGGGGAGGACAATGAGGCTTATAGGTGGAGTAGGAGGCTCCATCCTTTTTCCCTTCTTTTGGTTCTGAGAGGTACCAGCCTGGGTGGAAGCAGCTCCTGCTCCTCTCTTGGGGACATCTACCCCTTTGAAGCAGCCTGTGGGACACATGAGCACTGTCTGCGAGCTCCTGGGCTGAGCTGGGGCTCCTGCTCAGACCCCACCACGCTGTCTGAGCCCCATGGGAGCAGTCACTCTGAGGGTTTGCGTGTCTCCCCTGCAGGAGCTCAGTGCCTGGCTGAGCTGGGAAGGCTCCTGAGGGCACGGACTATCTCTCAGCATGAAGCTCAGCAGAGATTCCAGCGAGGTAATGTGGTGAGACAAACAATAAAATGACTCATAATAAATAGCCATAACCCCCCCCCCCCCCCTTCTCTGCTAATGTAATGAATGCACTCATTGTCACTGACTTTTGGGGGTTTTCAGTGTGTTCTGGCAGCAAAGCACTCTGAGTCATAAGCAGAAACACATTAATATTAATAGCAAATGTCTACGATTAAGCTATGAATGTTACCCATCTCTAACAGATAGACTCTCAAGATGTGCACAAGTTGGAATTAATCCATAATTGCTACTGATACTCTGGATTTACCCTGACTCCTCTCTCCTTCCAGGAGCACAATAAAACTATAGTGTTCCCATTATAAACTTGATCTATAGATGGTTTTAAATACTTTCACACTCTGGGAAGAAGGAAAGGAAAGCAACCCTGAATCTCACAGCAAAAGTTATTTGGCTTAAAGCTTATTTTTTACTTAAGTGATGAACCATCACTGGGTACACTTAATTAGAAGATATTAATAATACCCCGTATACTCTAACTCTAAAGGGGCAATCGGATGCTGCATAACATTGCAAAAGTTTTGTTTAAAACTCTTATGTACTCACACAATAAGCACAATTTTTAAAATATTTAAATGTAATATAAAATGTAGTGAACCTGAGAGGGGAGAAAAAAGCCAATGAATGACATTTATGAAAGCATTTTCCATAAAGATAAAATCCTGCCAGAGCCAGTGGTGTGGCAAGGCAAGGCATGCTTTGCCAGAAATGGCTTTTGATGGAAGATGCACATAAAGAGGACATTTCTGAAGCCAGTGGATGGATCCTGTGCTCACAGTGTGGTAGAGAAGACCAGGATATCCCAGGTGTTGTTACATGTTAAATTTTCCTCTGGTATGAAGACAAGATAAGATGATCCCTTGGCTCTGTCCCATCACAGGAGGTTCATTCCTGCTGTTCTGCAACAGCTCGCCATCCCTTCAGGTGTGCTGCTCGAGCTATCTGTGGGATGTCCTTCTGGCTGTGACCACTGACATGCCCCCACCCAAACGGAAACTGTTTTGGGACGAGATGGGAAGGGACGAGGCTTGAGGGTTGGTGAGCTGCAGCCTGGGGACAGGTGTGAGTGGTGGATGAGGGAGTGGGGAATGGGAACGCAAGCCATTTTTGCCATTGCAGGAAACCTTCCTCAACTGTCAGCGGTTGCCAGTACTCGATGCTGCAGAGGAAGCAAACGAAGACATGCTGAACAAAACAGGGCAACGGCATGCTGTGACACCACAGCCCCATGTCACCATGGAAATCGTTTCTGCCCTGAGTATCAGCCAGTTTGCACCCCGAGCCAACACAGCTGGTTGTCCTTTCAGATGGTCCAAGCCCTTCCCCGCCCTCCTCGAGCAATTGCTCATGGTGTCCAGGAAACTGAGATTTGTTTCTCCCACACTGTTCTTTCCCCCTTGCCTTGCCCTCCTTGTCCCCATGTCCTTCTAGGCTCTCAGGTGGCAGGGGAGCCCTAAACGCCTGCAAGGAGCCAGCCTGCTGAGCCATCAGCACACTCCCCCTCTCATGTTCATGGCCAGAGGAGACTGAGCTCTGACCGGGGACTGCTGATGTTTTACACAGAGCAAGAGAATAGTCCCAAATGTGGGATCCTTCTACCTCAGTCAGAAGCTTTGGCTGCTCAGCTGATTTAATTTTGTGGCCGAAAATATTATTAGCAGTAATAAATTTGTCCGCCCTTTTGGAAATCCAGCCAGTGAACCTTTACTCTCCTTTGTAATGAGACGCAAAAGGATGGGGAAGGGCTACAATCCTAAAAAAGAATACTGCACTGGAGAGCTGCAGAAATTACAATGCACCAGTCATGTGAGAAGAATGTTTGCAGCCATCCCTTGCGGGTGTAGCTAGAAACGCCTGTTGAAAGGATTCAAACAGAAATAAACACACACATACACACAAAGGCTATATTGGGTCAGATTCTGATCTCACCAAAAATTAATACCAGGCAACCTGCAGTGGCTCCTTTATGCACCACATGTCTGCACAAGTGAGATCAGACGTGGTCCTTACCAGGGAAAGTCGGAGGAGCTGTGTGGGTCTAAACCTCGGGCAGACTTGCGCAGCATAGTGTGTTGTAAGGAGGTAAGTAGCAAACAGCTCATATCCTTCCACAGGCTGTCTTGTGATGTTCCCTTTCCAAGTGACATTTGCAAAGCACCCACTGAAGTGTGTTTTTTTGGCGTGTAACAGTGCAGGACTAAGTATGAGGGACTTGGAGCTGCTGGAAGTGTCTCTGTTCATTCGCTAGACTTTGTGCTTTGCTAGAGGAAGATGAGGACAGATGCAAAGTGTTCTGGCTTTGCTTTTCTTCTCCGTGCTGTTTGTTAGCTTACAAGTCATTCTAACACATTTGCAGTTTTGCCTAGGATCCCTTGTCACAAGCGATCACACTTGTGAGGAGGAGAAAAGTGAAGAAGATCCTCCAGAATGATAGTTTTAACATGGTAATAGGAAAATATTTAAATACATAGCTAGTATAGAAATTGTAATCATGTCATGCAACTTTACAAGCCGGGAATAAACCTGCACTTAAGAAGCAGACCCTGTCTTCATAGCCATGGTAGGATCTGTAAAACAGGAGGCGGTTGCTCCTCTGCATGGCAGAAGGACACTGGCTTTCCTGCACCTCCCTGGGCATACAAGACCATGGGCTACTTGTGGGAGCTTCCTGCAGGCCCATTGAGTCTGCTGGGCTCCAGTGCTGTCAGACAAACCTCTCTGCCTTGTCAACAAAGGAGCAGCCTCCTCCTATTCTGCACATCTCCTCAGCTCTTCTTCTTGGGAGAGGTGCTGGGCCTAGGTCATGCACCAGCGGCTGGGAAGGAAGAAGAACACTGATGAGCCTTGCAGGTGAGCTGTCAAAGCAGTCACAGCAGCACGTGCTCATGCCTCACTTGGAAGAGAGTGATCTTCGCAATTATGCACATTGCTGCTGCTTTTAGCCATATTTTTGTTGTTGGATCTGGAATTCTGTTTTTGCTTTTTTTCCTAAAAGGAGAAAAGAAAGAGAAGTGTGAATTTGCAAGATATGTGACAGACCCAGCATTTGGAGGGTGAAGGTTTGTTTCTAATGAAAGGCCTTTTGTTAGGCCAACTGCAGATCATCTTACTGTGCCATTGGTCTGATGCCAACTCTATCTTTCCAGCTTGTTGAGATGCTTTCCACAGACATGGAATTGTCTTAAAACAAGAGGCCAAAGAAACTAAATGTATTGTTCTGACAGAAGTGGTAAAAAAAAAAAAAAAAAAAAAAAAGG